AAAGGGGCCAATATTTAAATCCGTTGTAACAAGAAATCCGCTGTGGCGAGGTCCGCTGTGACGAGGTTTGACTGTAAGGAAAAAAAATTTTTTTGTTACACTAAAAATTTTATTGTCTATTTTTTCCTAATATAGAATATACATGGGATGGTATATATATATATATATATTAATATTAATATGGTAATTGAAATGTTACCCGTAATTAATTTTCGTTACTATATATATTGGCGTAAAGTTAAAACCTAATTTAGTAACAAACACATGTATTAGTATTATATATATATATTGGCGTAAATAAAGTTATATATATATCATAATGTTTTTTTTTCAATTATTTTAAAAAACTTTTTCAAAATCAAGTGAGTAAATTTTACCACTAAGTAATTGTTGAATTATTATATATCTGAAGTTACGCTGCCACTAGGTGTAAATCGAAGAACTGGAAGCTCTTCGTGGCCACAACTTGCGAAAGTTACTAGTTAGGTAACCAGACCTAATGTACAGTGTACGGCCTGTTGTGAACGTCCTTCTTCGTTACCGAAAAGCTGCCTAGACGTAGCTCTGAGGCCTGTGGTGAATAGGATATATGATAAAATTATGCTTCTAGTACTTTTTATCTTGATAATTATGACACAATACTTATTATTTTATATATATATATATTAATATAGATTAAAGAATAACAATACAAAAACTTCCCAAGATCTAAATGCTTGTATATAGTAGATATTAATATTAATATATAAAATTAATATTAATGTGATTCACGGACTTATCATATATTATATTTATTATATATAACTAACAGAATAAGAATATATACAACTATGTTGTATATAATAAAAATTAGGATCTGGATTTTTTATTTTGATTTGTATTGTTTTTTTATTAACGAAGCAATTTAATAACAATAAACATAAATTTATTTAATTATATTGTTTTGTTTTATCACCGCCGTTTTTTTTAACACACCGTACTGTATAAATATGTATAAATTCCTTTTAAAGATGTATATATAATAAACTTCGAGTTTAATATTAATATGTAAAAACTAACTTGTCAAATTTAAAATGAGTAATTTTGATAGAGGAAACAGTTTTGAACTCGAAATATTAAAAATTGCTAAGAAAATAATGATATGTTTTAGACCAAAGTGAGTAAATTTTCACCATAAAATAATTGTTGAATATTATTTCTTAATGCTGATATTTGACTCTTGATACATTTATATTTAGAATAGAATTATCTAGTGGAGACAATGGAATCGACATATGGGGAATATATGGGAATTATTTAATATTAATTCAATGTAAAATTATACTAAAAGTGTTGGTACGTATGTTATTTATACGTATTGTTCTATATATTAATATATATATTTAAATATGACTTTTTAATTATATATATTGATAGGCACTAGTGTTGTAGCTAGTCTTGAAAGCATACTGTCAGCATGTCCTCCAAATACTCTCAGCGTTGCAGTGATCCCATTTAAAACAAATTATACCAAAGATGCCTTTAGAATGGCAGCAATTTCTAAATATAATATCATTTTGACAAAAGACAACGAGTTTTATTTAGACATGAAAAAAGCTATTGATAATCTCAACAATAATAATACCTTAACAAACGAAAAAGAGTTATATTTAGACGTGAAAAACACTATTGATAATCTTAATAATTATATTAATAATAATAATAATTCTAAATATTTTTATCATTTTTATAATATAGCTTTCTTGTTTTTTCTTTTTATGATTACTTTAATTCTTGCAAATATTTTCATCATAATTAATATATAATAATAAATAATGAATTAGTATTAGTATTAGTATTAGTGGCTACAAAAAATTGAGTATTATTATTATAATGTACTGTCACCAACAATTTTTCACTTTGACACATTGGACATATATCAGTATTATCACTAATTACAAGTCTCTTTAGTAAATCAACGCATTCTATTATTATGCGTTATCGGACGTAATACAGTAAAAGTATATCCTTGTTCTTTATTTTTATTATTGGTAAACAAGATAGCTTCCAAAAGTTCTAAAAATCTTTCTGAAAAATCATAGTTTGCCAAAAAAAAAGCTTTTCTCAAAAACTTACACCTAAAATCTTGACATATGAAAGATTAAATTCTGAAAAATTACATTATATATTTTTTTATACAAGTTTTTTTGCTATTTAAAAATTTGTTGAAGTTTTTGAAATTTTCGCTAAAATTAAAAAATGCACAGACAGATTAACAAAATCTAAACGTGAAGAGATAGTTGCACTTCACAATAGCAGTATTAATGCTAGCTATATTTATAAAAATTTTGGAATAGCAGATCGACTTTTTACGCAACAATTAAAAACGTAAGAGAGAGAGGTCATTATGAAGATTTAAAAAGAAGCGGGCGCCCTCGACATTTGAATTATAAACATAAAATTGAGTTGACGAAAATCGTTAGAATAGATAATCGTAAAACTATCAAAGCATATACATAACCGATTTAATGAAGTTATTTAAATGTTTCAATTAAAACTATACGAAGGAATTTGCATGAAGTAAATTTTTATTCTTGTGTCACTAAGCGCGGGAGGGAATGGACTAAAAAGGGATAAAATAGAAAGAAAAGCTAAAAAATTGAAAAAAATAGACTTATTCGAATATTAGAGAGTTTCCTTTGCAGTATTGACAAGAACATAAGTAAGAGAAAATAGAGGGCGAAGAAATGAATAATTTTGAATTTTAGAATATGTTGAATTAATGGATGTATTCCTTATCGTTAAAATAATTTTTTTTTGAGTTTATAACTTTTCAATCCTTTTATTATTATTATTATTATTATTTCAATAAAATATATAATAATAAATTCATTGATTCTATATATTTATTATTAAAATAATTATTGATTCCCAATTTTATTCAAACGACCGTCCCGGATAGTGATAAATTTCGTTGAAATTTTTTTCCTTGTGGAGAATAAATTGTTGTTGATGTTGATGACATCGCTGAACCATCATTATCATCATCATCCGGCAATCCTTGTATTTCGTCTATCAAATTTGTCGTCATTTCCAAAATTGTATCGACTAAGATTCGGAATCTTATGTGGAAAGGATGAATGATTTATATTTAGAAAATATTGCTAACGAGCTTCCTGGTATTCAGTGTATAAAATTCGTGTGCACAGTGTGCACTGTGCACAACCCCCTTAAGCCATGCACAATGAGACAATATGCGCACCAACATAGCGGGCTTTATCTGTGATTGGTTGATCCATAAAGAAATTGATTGGATAATTTTATAATATGCCGATCATT